TATATATATATATATGACAGGAAAACTACAAACATATTGACGCATGCATAGCACGAATAATTTCAGCTTCTTTGGCAAAAAAGAAGCAGCTCGTCCTCTGTTTATTTACATCTATAATTAATAATCTTTAATTATTAAATGGAGAAAGGTAAGTATGAGATATACCATCAAGATCAATGTATTTCCCTCTCCCTTGCGTAGCATTGAGCTTAATGTCTGCCATAGCGTCGATAGCGTCACGTCACATCAAAACAGTCCGCGAGCTTATCCACACGTCCTGTATATTATCGAGAACGAACTCAGATTAATCAAAGAAGATTATTAAGAGGAATCGTAATGTCGCAAGGAAGAGGTGAGTCGCTGATCTGCGAATCTCCTTGTTTCGCCTCCGTTGTCAAGAAATGTCGATTCCACGTGAGAACGAGAGACTGCATGACAGCTGATGAGCTTACACTCGGAAGTTTGTGGCAGCGGTGATATAAACCCACTTTTGAAGAGAGAGAGAGAGAGAGAGAGAGAGAGAGAGAGAGAGAGCTTGAGGGGGATTAATTTTAAGATTGAGGGATCTCTTCGAACTGATACCTTCGAATTCTGAAGAAAGTGGGTTAGATCGTACACATTGCCATGGATTGCTTCTGTAACAATCTAAATTCTTTACTCCTTTAATTTAAAAATAAAGACTTCTTGAAAATAATTTATATTTACATTAACGTTGCATGTTTTAATGCTCTATTTTTGTATGTTGTCATAAGTTATAGTCATAGTTAATATTGATTAAAACTCATAAAACTTTTCTTTAGTATTTATCATAATTCAATTTTGTTGCAATAGGTACATAATATACATCAACTTTTTTATATAGTTGCAACTTTATTATAGATTACTAAATGTTTTGTCTTGTTTTTGCCTTCTCACATTGACTTTATTTTGCCATAGTAGACATGTATATAACAATGTACTTTCTTAAATAGTCTACAACTTTGCCACAGATTAGTAGATATTTGTTTTTTCTTTTCATATTGACTTAATTTTACAATATCTTAAGATGCTAATGTACCTCTCTGATTGGTTCATGACATTTCAAGGCTGTACTTAAGACAATCCTAAATATATGAGATCCAACTATAATACGATTAGTTCATCCTAAGGCAGTCTTAAATATAAGAATCGATTATGAATATTGGCCTAAATATTTGCTTCTGTCTTCTCACATTGGGATTGCTTGCAGGTAGGAGAAATCGCAAGCATCATGATAAAGAGAAAATAATCAATCTTGGTGACAAAGGCAGAGAGGTGATGGAGGACATAAATGAGAACAGTCAAGTAATACAACAGTTCCATGAGTATGCGGCTGAACTAGATGCCAAGCATGATCGTTATGAAAGAATCTTCAAGATCAATCGGGATGTAGGCATCGAGAGTAAAAGAATCATCTTTCTGTTACACACTATCGATAAGGAGAGTAAACGAAATGCTGTGCTGGACACAGCTAAAACAAGATTAGATAATGTAGTACAGAAGTTATTTCGAAATATCGCAACCGAGTTGGACGGACAGGACGCTTACCAGTTCCACAGAGCTTATCGCGCCGGCATAGAAGAATACATAGAGGCGCTGACATTCCATGAATATCTGCAGAATGGTGATATGCAAGATTGGTCAGCTTTGGAAAAAGCACTGACGTATCACACAACTTCATCTCCAACCGATTCGTCGGAACAGAGTACTTCCAAGATGATGCAGGTCATGGTCACGCCAACAGACTATATTTTGGGAATAGCCGATCTGACCGGAGAGCTGATGCGAAAGTGTATCAATAACTTGGCGATAGGGGATGTGAGCAGTTGTTACCAAACGTGTAACTTTGTCAGAAAGATATACATAGCCTTCTTGGGCTACACCAGTGTAGTACATAACAACGAAGTAAATAAGAAAATTATCACGCTCAAGCACAGTTTGACCAAAATGGAAAATGCGTGTTATACTATCAAAGTACGGGGATCCGAAATACCAAAGCACATGTTAGCGGATGTGGCCATTGCAGCAGCTGAGGAATATGCCGCTGATGACGATGAGGGATATCAGGCATTTTAATACACGACAGCACAAATTCCTTTTAACATAGATTATTTAATTATTTTTTAATTATTTGGATTTATCAATCTGATGCGAGATAAAAGTAATCGATAGTATTTTATACAGCTAACAGTATTGAATCGAAAATTAATTAGTAAAGAAATTGTACTCTTTCAGTAGTATATCATCGATTATTTTAATTCAATTCTGTTTATTATCTTAATTATTTGTGTTAGTTTTTGTTAATTTCTCTTAATTTCGCAAAAATTACATAAAAGATTCTATAACAAAAAATTTACTTTAAATAGTATTTAAGTTTTATATTTTCATATTTCACGCATCAAATTAATATATTTATAACACTTTCCGACAAATAAAACAGTCGATTGTGATATATTAACGTTTATATATATCTTTAAATAAATCAAATAGATATGCAAGTATAATATTTTAAATTCATGTACAAAAATAAATATTCTATAACAAAATATATCTGCATTGTGGTTACATCAATAATTTGGACACTCTCGAAAATGTAGGATCCAATTTTACATAGAAGATCGACGATTGTCAGCCGGTCGTACCGTCCTCTAATTCACTCCTGTCGTCCCAATCATCCGAACTCTCTGTATACACGGACGGATCGTAATCGGACTCGTCAACAGACTCCTCTGCGGACGACGCTTCTGTTTCAGACGTATCGACAACTACCAAGTGCATAGGGGTGGCAGCTCTTCGACGACGACGCGGTGCGGATGTGTGTTTAAATTGCGCCTTGTGCTGCGCATTCTTACGATAGCACTTTATGCCGTATGGACATTCCTCCCGATTGTCAACCTCGTCGTAATCCAAATCATCTGGATGACTATAATTGTTCTTATGATTGGGATTCTTGCTGCAAATTTAAAAATATTTTAAGTTTTTTAAATCTACTTTCAGTACTTTGACAGAATGATTTTAGATGTTATTTTTCGAAGAATGTTCTGAATTGTATATACTAGTGCAGTAAGTTGGAGTGAAACAAATATAGGCTGTTTTCCTTTTATGTGACACAACCGACGCAAATGTCGTTCTATCTTTCGTTGAATGTCAAGAAGGCTGAAACGATGTTTGTGACTGTGTCTTCTAAAAGGAAAGTGGTTCATTTCACTCCATCTTATTGTACAGAACATTCTTCGAGAGAGAATAGATCTATTGATAAGAAACTGAACCATATTGTATCACTTACCGATAACATTGAGCACCGTACCTACATTTTTCTCTGGGTACTCTATTAGAATTGGATGTACTCGCTTGATTTTGAGGCACAGCAACAGACTGAGGATTGTTCGACGAAACTTCTTCGATCTGATCACTGACGTGCACGTCCCATTTGATCTTCTTGCTTGATTCACCATTTGTCGCGGCTTTATTCGTTAAATTAATATTCCTTACTTTCCGCTTCCTGTTACTCTCCTGATCAACAGGAGGTTCAATTATATCCTGACATTCTATTGACATCTTGGAACTTGTCGCGGTCATATTATTTCCCTCTGGCATGCTGAAAGAAGCATGAAGACACGGGATGAACAATTACACTTTTATCGTCAGATATTTCTGCTCAAGTAATTCGAACAAAACCTTCGATCGATCTGCAAAACTGGAGCAGCTTCATCCTTATGTTCCCCATTTCCATTAACTGGACAATCCTTATGTTCGTTTGATAGATCTTTATCTTGAAGAACATCATTTAAAGTTTTGCCAGGAGATACAGCAGCTTCCATGCTCGACAATAAGCAGGCCTTTTTACTGTCTACTTCATTATTTAAATCTACCTGAAATGAAAAAATAACAAAATTCCTCGCGCAAAATTGTCTTCGGATATATCAAGCTGTACCTTTCTCTTCAACATTTGATCACCTTCCTGCATCGTGTCTGTCGAGATGATCTTGAACCAACATTTGTCAGGCAGCAGAGAGCAAACATCACCTGGCTTTATTGGCACGCTGTTTCCCAATTCAAGAGATCGCCATCGTGCACATCCAGCAGGTTTCATGTAACATGGTGCCACCTAATACTGGAAAATGATCTCTATAGAAAACTGATGTCAACTACAACACATTAAAAAATAAATAACCTAATAAAACAGTAAAGCCTATTTTCACAATGCGACTATCTAAAGATTAAAGATCACCAAAAGCAATTCATATAATCCAATAAATAGTTACAATCTCAACTAAAAGTGACATAACATCAATGTTATAATTTTTCACTCAACAATATAAATATATGACACATGTTTCACACAACAGTTACACATCATTGAGTATAAAATTATAACATTGATATTATGTTACTTTTAGATGATATTTAATGGACAATTAATTTCTTTAATTTCTAACTAACCATATATTGTAAAAAAAAGCTTACCTAATAATATAACATCAATGTTTTAATTTCACATTCAACAATACAAATGTAATACAACATATGTGGTAATAAACAGTTACACTGTTTAGTATTAAAGTATAACATTGTTATGTTAATTGGTATTTACTGGGAAGCTATTACGAAAAATAAATATAAGCTTTATACATCACATAATTCCTTCTACAAAAAGCTATTATTAATTTCCTATCGTTACGTGTTGCCAATTGAATTATCACAGAGATTACTGGAGTTTAATGTTATCAGAGTACTAATATATGCCAAATGATAAGGAATACCCGAAACAGGAAACTTTACCGGCGTAATCGTCATTTCATCGTTGGGCGACAAATTGATGGTCACGGCGTGTTTGAGCACCTGGCCGTCGTTGCACTGCGATAATGGTAAAGATCGTTAAGTTTCGCTAAAGAAAAAGTTTCGTTAAAGATCGTAAGTCCGTCAAGAAACGTTAAGAATCCTTCAATTAATCAACGCGTCATCGATGCGTTGAATCAATGTAAAAATCATCAATGAAAAAATCATCAATGAAATCAATCAATGAAAAAATCATCAATGAAAGCAATCAATGAAAAAAATCATCAACATGCCGCCATTCGTGTTTTTAGTGACTCAGAATCATTTCGAGTCGTGTTTTTACGTTTCGACTTGTAGCGATTTTATTTATGTTATCCGTATAACATTTAATTGATAAGAACATTCGGAGACACGTAAGTATACGTTCATATGCTGTAAAAGAAATCGCAGATCACTGCAGCTGATCTCAACGTGTACATTCAAAATGCTTCGAAATTCACTGCGCCGCCCGACAGTCGATTGTCGAAGTAGTCGACAAAATGCAGCACGAAAAATTGTAGATAAATTTTCAGAGTCCGAAGATAATTAAAGAATGCTGACATTATCAACCGCGTTCGATACATAATTATTATTCTCGAGAATTACATCGATTGCGTCTCTCATTGATTACATATATATATTTTTTAACAATAATTTTATAGTCATCTCTGCGTGTTTTACAAGTTTGTAGCGCAATGATGTCAGTTTCCTAAACAATAGGATAATTCTTACGTCACTACAGTTCTACGTTATCATCTGTGCCTAAATTATTGCTTCGACGACTCATTCTTAGCTGCGCGCGATATCTCGGTTCTAAACGCGCGACGAATTTTTCAATACGATCTGATAAGCATTTTACAGCAGTGACGCAGTCAAAATGCGCCGTTATCGGTTATTATCGGCGCACGTGATATTGGCACGTACAGACGGAGTCATAAACAGTCGTAAACGCTTTATTGCATAAAATTGCACGCGTGCCGGAGGTATTATGTATTCGAAGCGCGTGTTTCCTATTTAAAGTCGAAATATTTCACGTATTATAATTAATTAATTCTATTATATATTAGACATATTATTAAATTCTGATATTATTATTGTTATATTATCATTATTATATATGTAATTATATCTTACCCTGGCGGAAATAAAAGTACATAAGTCTAATATAAAAGAAGTGTAAACGCTTTTTTTGTATTATCTTAATTTTCTAATGAAGCTTCTGTGTTTTAGAAATTTTTTCTAGAACCTAGAAGCTTAATTCGTTTACGTTTCTCTCCTTACATTTTCTTTGTAAAAATTTAATATTAATGTAACCAATTACCTTGATATAGTTACAATAACTTATCTTTAATACTCTAAATAAGTGAACAAAACTTTCAATAGTACAAAAACACAGAAAAAATATTAATCTTAAATTGACAATATTATGCTCATATATATTAGGCAATAATATATATATATTAGGCAATATAATATTGTAATCTTAAATAAAATTAAATAAATATCAATAATTGTGATCAAATATTATAATCTTGCTTCGAAGATTTTAATCTTGATTTGATTGAATCTATATTGATGTATAACTTAATTTTTTTTAGTCTCAATTCAAGACTAAAAATCCTGCATCGCTACAAATTTAATTAAATCAAGATTAAAAGGTTTGAAGTAAGATTGCAATATTGTTGATACGTACATGAGCATAATACTCGATTTAAGATTAATTTTTTTTTGTATAGTACTTTTTATACTGAAAATAAGTAATTAATTGGCTAGTATTAAATTTCTGTAAAGGGAGATATTAACAGAAGCGTAAACAAAGCTTCTTAGAAGGCAAAAATTGGGACAATAAAATGTAAGAGTAACGTTTTGTTTATCGAACTTTTAATATTTAAAATAAGTAATTAATTAGTGATTAATCAGTACTAATATTAAATTTCTATAAAGATCGACTAAGTTCCCATTTTTATTTTCGCCAGAGCGATATGTAGCAACTTAACGCGATGAGATGCATTTATGTCTCCGTGTATACATTTTTCGCTAACGTCGATGCGATAAACTTCGAATCTTCCAAGCGTAGCCATGAATCATCCGACAAAATGATTACATGGATAATCTTGACGCGTCAGCTTATCCGTTCGCATACGTCAACCGCAACCCGAGTCAGAAATGCGAGAGTAATATTTAATATCTGTTTATCTCAACTTGATATAGACAGACATTAAAAGATCTACCTTGGATTGATAGATAGAGTTGAAAGACGAATTCAAAATAGAATTCGAAGGATTAAATAGCTAGAATTTCAGTCATTTCCGATTTCATTCTACGCAATTTGTGTCCGATTGCAGGATTTGTCATAAAAGGAGTTTTCCTTTTGTTCGTGACATTTTTTTATGACGT